GGTGCCTGTGATTTCCAAGGGGCCAGCCTAGGAGCCAGGTAGCACTGTCTGCTGCAGCTGCCTCTTGCTGCTCCAGAGCAATTCAGTACGAGTGCAGCCTTTAGGAGGGTCAATGAGAAGTATCCTACTTTGCATGATGCTGAGCATCTAGGTTGTTGACTGTTCCTCCCTGGGCTCTTGAGTGATGTGAGGTAAGCCACACAGCTGATAAGCAGCTGGGAGGTGCTGCCGAGCTACGGTTTATTTATCAGATGAAAGTCGAGCACAAACAAGAGCTATTTACGGAACTATGGTACTTAACTGTGCACTCTCAGCAGTTTTTATGAAGTTGTATCAAAGGTTTCCAGAACTAGAACTGAAGTTTTCAGACCCCTGTCAGATCCTGCAGTCCATCTTGTTCTCCAGGTAGGATTATTGCTTGCATGGTTTCTATGGCAATCTAGTTTTAGCTGTCCCCCAAATGGAGCTGCCATCGTCGCCAAGGGGAAATGAAGGGCTACAGCCTGGCTTAGCTCAAGATCCGGACATTGTCTGGATTGACAGCCTGAATTTGCTGTGTCAGCCATGGCTACTAACCTTGAGTTCACTCACTCTTCTAGGTCACAGAAGGAAAGGTTCACCATTTTTTTCCTGCAACAGCTAAAGGATGCAAAGCACTTTGGGAGACTGACAAGAAAGCGGTCCTCGCCTGAAAATGATTTTGAACTAAGACTAATGAGAGACAGAGAAAGCCAGTGCTTCTGAAGTTGCCAGGGCTACGTAGATTTAGGTTTTCTGAACAAAGCATTCAGTACTTTATTGCCTACTAGTTTTATAAAGCAAAGAGTTAAGGAAAAAAATCATTATTTGAGTCAGAGGGTGGCTATTTTTCAGACGCCGAATCGTTCCCAGGTTTATAGATCCCAGGATCTGTATTGGAGCAGTGCGGCTTCTTTCTCCAGGCTCTGTTGCCTCCTACACCTCACATGGAGTGAGTGGTCGAGGTAAGAAACTTCCGACCTGTGTGCCTCCAGGATCAGTGATGGGCAAGTCCTGGGCCAATGCAGCACTGCTGTTCATCTTGCACCTTTTTTGTAGTTTTACAAAAGAAACTCTCATACTATTTCTTTTATCCCACTCAGAAAGCCACAAGCATCATTTCCAGTTGCAACAGGCCTTCACTTCTGACTATTTTGCCCTTAAGACAGGAAACCAACAAAATGCTGTTTAAAGATCTAACGGCTATGGATGCCAAGTGCTACGCCACGAAACGATAAACAGTCGTTTTGATGTTGAAGTTGCACTTTGAGAAGGTACTTTTCCCACACGTTGTATAGGTAACGCGGTTTTCACTGTCGCTGGGAGCTAGGGCCCCTCCTTGGGACTCCCTCTTGACTTGCCGTCAGTGTGAGTGCTCAGCACTTTGCAAGGTGGACCATTCCGCCAAAGCCCGGCAGAAATGGGAGGAAGAGCCCCTTCCCTCGCTAGGATTTGGAGTAAGCCAGGAGACAGGCAGAGTGCTCTCCCACGCTCGGCTCAGCTCCCGCTGGAGTGGCAATGACCGGCTTTCCCTGCACCCTGGCTGTTTTACGCTCCCAAGAAAGGGCTGGGTTGACTCTGCTGAAGTCAGTAGCATCTGTCTTGAGTGGTGACTTGAATGGTAGCAGATACAGATAATAAAAGGAAGGAGAGAAAGAAAGAAAGGAAGCAAAGCCACAGTCAAGGCACCAGGGAAGGGGGGAACCTGCATTCAGGTGTGTCCAAGGCGGTGGGGAGCAATGGGGTGGGGTGGCTGAGGTGTGGAGTGGACTCTCTCGTTATTTGCGATGGCCGTGGTGCTCTCGATAGGCCTAGCTGACCTGCTTTCCTGTCTTCTCCACAAGTTGTAAGATTTGAGCAAAGGAAGAAGCCAGCCCTGAAGGTGAATATTTTGTCAAGACAGAAGCATGAACAAACAGGCTGTTGGAAGGCAATCCTTAAGTTACCTACATTCTTATTAATCACTGTAATTGATTTGAATGGCTTTACATTCTCTTCCTAGTTGCTGTGATACACCTATCAGATGTATCAATGCAGGAAGTACTATTAAATCGTTAACTTAAAATTTCCTAGCTGAAATCAGAACAACGACCAACGTTGACTTCAGTTCCACCTGTTCCAGAGCCGTGACCACTCGCGTCTCAAAAAGGGCTCGAACGGGCTCATCAAAACCGCGTGCCGGTTCTCGACACTGAGCTGGATTAAGCCGTTCAAAGCCAGACTTGCTTGTGGACAAACTGAAGGCACTGGAGCTTCCCTTGCAGTACTGGGTAACTCCACACACTGACCATAGGAACACGGGTTTCAGGCAGAAGCTGTCTTACAGGATCCCATTTGATGGTCAAGCTTCAAAATGAATGGGCCAAATTGCTAGCAGAAGAGCTTTGGCAGTGTTATCATGGGATGAAAAATCATCCTACACTTGGAGCCTCCAAGACCTCAGTCAGTAAGAGAGTCAGGGAATGAATGAAGCCTGTCTCTGTCTAGGTACCATACGTGGGGAACAAATCTCGGAGAACAGGGCTCTCACTACCCCAAGCAAATCCTATAGCCAGGGAGAAATGAAGCAAAGGGAACTCAGCCTACAAATAAGGCATCAGCCTCTAAGAGTGGGGCAATGAAGTGCTGAAGTAACTTGCCGGTGACTGTGGGACAGTCTCTGTTGCTGGTCATGAGGCAGTTGCCTTCAAGAAAAGCTGTAGCTTCTTACACAGGGCTTAATTTGGGGAGCTGCTGTGGGTGGTGGCATCCATGTGCAGGGTACCACCTCTTGCAGGAACTTTGATACGCAGGCGGAGGAGCTCTCGTGGCCCCCAAAAAGCGCGCGGGAT